TGTATGAGTATGGGTGCAAGTTTAATAAGTTAAGTCGTTTTACGGCTGAGTTGATCCCAACAGAGAAGGATGTGTGTGAGTGGTTTGTAGAGGGCTTGCGCCCAAGGTTGAAAGAAATGTTAATAGTATTGAACTTGTCCTCGTTTCAAGAAATAGTAAATCGTGCTAAAGCTCTAGAGAGAGCTCAGAATGAAAGGTTTGGGGATCAAAGAACCCAATCATCTAAAAGAACCAGGGCTTTATCGAGTTCTGCACCACCCAAGAGGGGTAGAGATTCTGGTACTCAGTCTCAGGCAAGGTCTGGATTGGTAGAATCCTCCGTTAGAGAATCAAATCAGAGGAAAGCTAGACAGACCCAATCAGTAGGGTTTGGTGAGGACAGAACCCAACAGAGACATTGTCAGACTTGTGGAAAATATCATGGTGGAATATGTAGGGTAGAATCCGGAGCTTGTTTCCGATGTGGTGAAATGGGACATTTTGTGAGAGATTGCCCATTGGGGAAAGGAGAACCAGTACAGTCGGAACGATCTGCTTCGATACCTTGGAGAGGGAGAGGTAGAGGAAGAGGTATGAGCCAACCTGAATCCTCTACTTAACAAGAAATACGCTCCACTGCTCGAATGTATAATATTAATACCAATGAAGATTTTGATGATCCGGAGATAATAACATGTATCTTTCGAGTGTGAAATAAATACATTATGATAATGATTGATTTAGGCTTGTTTGTTCATATATTAGTAGTAAATTGGTGAAAGAATTGAGAATTAAATTAGAAGTTATTTATAGTAATATGACAGTGACAAATTTATTAGGGTACATTGTGTGGATAAGTAAGATATATTGAGAGTGTCCCATTATAATTCAGAGAATTTAATTTCTTACTAAATTGATGAATTATTATTCAATGAATTTAAAGTAAGATTGGAAATAAACCAGTTTTATAATTACCATAAAAATGTCAATTATAATTGAAAAGAGTATAGTTAAACAGTTTAGATGAATTGGAAATTATAATGTTAGAGGATTTATATCGTTCTGAAATAGAATAGTTTCTTTGCTGCATTGATAAGATAAGGTAGAGGGGATGATTCTTATAAGGAGAATATTAAAAGATCAAATGATGCAGAATATTATTATAGAAAAGTTTAAGAATATGTACATCAGTGATCAGTTTATAAGACAAAGGAAAATGGAATGGTTGAATCTGAACCATAAAAAAAAGTATATGGTAATTAGAGATTAAAAAAAAATAGATGGATTATTGGTATGGAGTGATGAAAATAGAGGTTACTGTCTATATAATGAGTTACATTATATGGATTGTAGAAAGGTTAAAGTAAAATGTATTGGAGACGTGTAGACAGTATCTTATCTCCTGGTGCAATGAAAATTCGAGGACGAATTTTCTTATGGGGGAAGATTTGTAACATCCCAAACTACGGGTTAATGACTAAATTGTAAAAATTTCAGAATATGGTGATTAAAGTAGAATAGTTGAATAATTTAATGATTTATGTGGAGATATTTCCTGAAAGTTATTAGTAAATATTAAAGGAGTCAAAGGGCAAATAAGTAATTGAACAAGAAAAATAATTAAATAATAACTAATGGGTATTATAATACCCATGTGGATAATGACTGAAGAGATAAGCTTCAAAGCAATTCTCTTCTTCATCTTCTTCTCTTCTCCACGTGAAAACTCAAAGCAAAGGTAAGTTCTCTAATTTCTTGATTGTTTGTTGATTTTAAGCATGAGTTTTGATCCTTAGAGGATAACTAAGCTTAAGGAAAGCTTAAGTTATCTTAAAATCAAAAGATGAAGAAGTTATAAGAGATTTAAGAAAACGAGTTTTTATATGAAATCATGGAATAGAGTTGATAAGTTGAATTTTAAGTTGAATTTGACTTATCATCTATGAGAATAAGAAGATAGAAGTGTTAGAATTATATTTAGAACATATGGAAAATTGAGTATGATTCTTGAATTTCATATGAAGGATAGGATTTTGAAGTTATAGATGATTTTCATGGATATAAGTTAGTTTAAGCAATGGTAGTTGAGTTTAATGACATGGTAGGGGTTTAAAATAGAAGAATTGAATGAAAAATTGATGATTTTCGAGCTTAAAATACAATTTCTGGGTAGAGGGAACCGATACCCTATGAATGGGAATCGATTCCCCCTCTTGAACGAAAAATTCCAGTATGTTCAGGGGGTATCGATTCCCCTAGGGGGTATCGATTCCCCCTAAATGAAAATATAGAATTTGATTCATTAAACCGGTTTAAGTTATTAACATCAAGTTTAAAGTTTAGGCTTCTGATAGTTGTTTTGAAATGATATATTTATGTAGATATTGAGCCTAAACAAGTTCCGGAATAATCAAAGGATTATAATCAAATCAAAGCAAGGCTAAGGTGAGTGCAATTTAAATTGTACTTATGTGATTGATCAAACATTGGCTTGCAATGAGTCAATGATAGAGTTACTATGGTAAGAAGTAACTTATATAATGTTATGTGATTACTATGTGTGCATTAGTACATAGAAATGGATGTATGTTTATATGTTACATGATTTACATGCTTACGTGAAAATGCAACATATGATATTATATATATGTTTACACATACATGTGGTATGTGACAGAAGAGAAGGAACATGTGATTATGAGATCAATGATTATACGTACATGTGATACGTGACTGAAAAGAAAAGATATGTGTTTATAAGAGAAAGAATATGAATAAGTAATGTGAACTGTTATAAATGATAATGCCCATGTTATGTGATATGAGAGCTAGGGGTATAGTTGGCATGCCAAGGGTCGAGGGTTTACCTATGTTCTTTGGGACATATGGACTGTTTACCTATGTTCTTCGGGACATATGGACTGTTTACCTATGTTCTTCGGGACATATGGACTGATTACCTAGGTTCTTCGGAATCTATGGACTGGTCCTTCGGGACATTTATACGAGCTGTGGTGACAGCGTAGTGGTGCACAACCTCAATGTACTCACATACCTTAAGTTCTCAAAAGTATACATGGGCTAATACATGGTCTTTACAAAGAGTAAATAAATAAATTGATTTGCTACTATGTATGTTTTGTTGTGAAGTAGTATATGTGTTCCATGGTACGTAGAGAAATGTTCATTATATATACTTATACGATAAAAAGGTATTAAAAGTACTTGTATTATCTTATGTTATCATGTATACTGAATTATATGCGACACGATTGAATTCATAGATTGAATGTTTATATTTATGAGAAATGCATTATTATTATGTTTTTGCTTCACTAAGTCTATGACTTAGCGTGTAAGTGATTTACACGTAGGTACTGAGAAACAGAAGGATCAAAGCTAAGTTAAAAGTAACAACATATCTCTGCTCAAAGATCAGATCAGAAGTAAATTACACAGTATGTATTATTATGTGATAAATAGGTTGGCATGTAAATGAAGTAGGTAAATTAGGTATTTATGCTCTGATCAAGTTTTGTAATATTTTAAATATATTTATATAAGTATAAATGCAAAGAAATGAACGGTTAAATTTTTACGAGTGTTATGTACAATTTATGAAAATCACTGTAGCACTATAGCAGGTTACTGTAGTACTATTCATATCGTATTTCACCGTTCATAAACACGTTTTTATCTCAAAATTTTATACCAAACACAATTGAATAATATTTGATTGTATTTTCTTAATATAAATTCAAATGTTCAGTTATTTTACAAGAGTAAAGGTTTTGAAAATGTCAATGTGACATCTCGGACTCGTATCCAGGTCGGGTATGGGTTAGGGTGTTACAATTATGTACATCAAAAGTGAAGTCAATATACCAAGAAGCTAAACCAAAACAAATAAGACACACACAAATAGGAAAAATGACTAGCACATTAGGTTGAAAGCAAACTTACCCAAAAGAAACACACAAAACTAGATTGCGAAGTAAATCAAAACTGAAGGATGAAACCAGAAGTGAACAAAGAAAAACCTGAAATACCCAGAAAGAAACTAAGAACAAACGAGCGAAGTCAGATCAGAAAAGCCGAATTGAGAATAAAAAAATCAAAAGAAAATTGAATGAAGGTGAAAAAAGACGAAATGACTACCATTTTTTCTTATTTCTTATTTGTAATCAAATTCAAGATTTAAGAAAGAAACAAAAAATGGAGCGAACAGAGCAACATTTGCATTTCAAATAGACAGACAACGATCATACCTTTTAGGAAAGACAAAACTGGGAACTACACCTGCGATGGAGTCTTCGGTTTGACATCAGAAAATAAAAAAAATCAAAATAAAAATGGCACGAGGAGAAGAAGTAGCGGCAGCGGCCATTGTCGAGAGAGAGAGAGAGGCAAGGTAAGAGTAAAGACTAAAGAGAAATGGGTAGGTTTTGAAAATGACAAGGTGTGAGATTTGGGGGGAGTTTTTTATGGCGAATGCGATAATTTCATTGAAAATAGGTAGGTTTTGTACTTAAAACGACGCTAAAATAAGAGCTTTTAGTGGCGTTTGCACAAAAACGCTGCTAAAGTATAGTAACTAGCGGCGTTTATATGAAAACGCCACTATGTAGGGGCCTTTAGCGGCGTTTTTTCTTAAAATGCCGCTAGAGTACGAGTTTTTAGCGGCGTTTGTACAAAAATGCCGCTAAAGTATAGTAATTAGCGGCATTTATATGAAAACGCCACTAAATTATAGTATTGAGCGGCATTTATATAAAAACGCCACTAAAGTATGAGTATTTACCGGCGTTTATTCAAAAAACGCCACTAAAAATCCCTCTAAAAGTAGTGATTGTTATTGTGATTCCTCCAAGTAAATTTCATTTTGGTGCCTGTGGATTAAATAATGGGATTTCTCTTATTCCAAGAAGAAGATAATAATAACGGTTTAGTATTAATCTTACACTGCTCCGTTTTCTAACATCTTTTTCTGTCAAACTTGCAATATATATAAAGAATGAACGTTTAACTCAACTGTTAATTAGTTTGCCTATATTAAGGTAGCAGTATAAGGGACACCCGTATCCTGTAACCAGTCGTCTCCTAACAAGAAGCTAGACACAGTGAAGTTAGCAGCATCGGTTGCATTTATTACATGGAAACCAGACCAAGTGACCCTCTGTGAAATGTTGGAACCAGGTCCAGTGTTTTTGTATTCAGCATAGTATGATGTGTTCAAGGCAAAATCTCCGTCCCATGCTCTCCACCCAGCAGGATCTATCAAACTCCCCATGAAATTCTGCATATAAACTGTCCTCGAATACTCCTTCCATGGTCTACCTAGATACGTCCTGAAGGTTGTGTTGCTCAAGGCCAGATCATCGGCAGCCATGATGTTGCAGTCGTGAATCGATGTGCCCGTGTTCTGGTTCGGATCGGTCCGGCCCTGCGCGGTGATGGCGTTGAATTGTCCATTCATCGGCTTTCGAGGGTATATGTTGCAGTTTTGGAAAACAACGGCAGCGTTGCCAAATATAAAATCAACAGTGCCGTAGATGTCACATTCTCTATAGAATTGTCTTAAGGAATGAGTATATAAGGTATCTTGGTATCCTTCGAAACTGCAGCTGTAGAATGCTGATAAATCAGCCCCGTTTCGAACTGCGACCGCTTGGTGCTTGATTGCTCCGGCTGTGTTCTGGAATGTCATGTTCACCGCAACAAAATTTGGAGCCACCACAGCTGTAATATTAAGCCAAATTTGTCAGACCAAAGATAATTTAGTTACTTAAAATGTTTTTTTAAGATGAAATTAACTCCTTACCTTTGTTTAAATGATCACTTTGACCCATTTTTAAATATTTTAGTCTCTAATACTTTAATTTTTTGTAAAAATAATTTTGTTAGATGAAAACCGTTAGTTGATTAACGATCAATTTATATTACTGATATGATATTTTTACATATATTTAATTGATGACGTGACATGTGATATGGCATGTGCTATTCACTCAAAGTGATGACGTATCATGTTTTATGCCACCCAAAATAATAATTTCATATGCGTCACGTATTAATTAAGCACGTATGAAAATGTAATGCATTAACGACTAATTAATTAATAATTTTCATCCAACACAAACTGTTTTTGATCAAAAGTTAAAATATTAGAGAGTAAAATGCTAAACGATTATGTACCAAAGATATCACTTAAACAAATATTGGGTGCTAATTTAATCGTTGTCTTTTTAATTTAAAACTTACCGAAGGTTGCAGAGTTAAACGTTGTCCACCCATCGACAACGCTGCGGTTTCCGGTGATTATTGTCTGATTGATGCCGTCACCGATCATCATCAAGTATCTTTTATTCTTAGCAATGGAAATGTACTCTTGATAAACACCAGCAGTGATGTAAATCAAGAAGTAACCATTTAAGCCATTGGTGTTGTTGGGAGCTGCCGATACAGCATCGTTAATGGTGGTGAAATTACCGCTACCGTCCTGACTCACCGTCACAATGTCACTCACCAACACCTCCTCCTCATCACCGTCGTCCCTCGTTTGAAGAAGATTTCTTCGGCTTACGGTCTCGTAAATCGTCCTTGTTTTGCTCGACATTTTGAAATGCAAACGCCCGTGCTTGAAACCGAGCTGCCTTTTACTACTACGCTGCCACGCCCATGCGGCTTTCTTCTTCTTCTTCGGAACCCATCCCTTGGTGAAAAGAGCCAAAGAAACACTGTAGAGCTTTGTGTCGTTTGACAGAGGAACCGACAGGCCGTTCCTTATGGTCCAAGCCGAGGCAGTGGATTGTATGCCATCTAAACATGTCTGCTGGTTAGTCAAAATAGCGCTAAGAAATGTTTGTATGTCGTCAGCATCGACAGGGGACAGTGTTCTACTAGTGGCATTGACGGTTTCAAATGAGCACAATAGGAAATCCATGTTGAGACCAGCTAGGAAGCGGCAATCCTGCAAAGCACGAATGGCGGACACCGACAACGATGGTCGGTATTTCTGTAGGTACTTGTCGACTAATTTGAGGAATTTACGGGACTGAGACAGAGATTTGCGAACCGAGAATCGACCATAGGTGTAGACATCGCTGGTGTGGTTAGGGAGGACTGATCTGCAATAGGAAGGGTTTGGGGTGGACTTGCAAAGGGTTCCCGGTGAGACGGGAGCGGAAGCCGGAGCATCTTCTAGAGAAGGAGAAAAGAAGAAAGGAAGAAGAATGAAGATTGTTAGAAGAAAGCAGAGCGGGGAAGCCATTGCTTTCAATTTTTAGCTTTTTCTGGAGGATTTGTGATAATGGAGTAGGTTGTATTTAAAGTGGGGAAAACGCCCAGAGCAAGCCAGGTTGATTTTATTTTATTTTCATCTTCATTCGTGATTTATTTTATTTTATTAGCAGCGGTGGTCTATTTTTTTAATAATTTAAAACAGTTATAAAATAATATCTAAACACTTTCTAAATCATTAACCATATATATTATAATTGTTTAAAGTTAAAACCTTTAAAGAAAATAACATCTATTTTTATTATTTTTCATAATTAAATAACATTTTCTTTAGGCGACGCTGATGTTAAACGAAGTAATGCATGCAAAGTTGTAAAGTCTGGAAACAGCTTTCGAGCCTGAACGTCCTAAAATTCTCACTACAGTATCAGCCACAAAGAGTGGGGTTAGGTTGATGACGATGGCAGAATCATTGGAAAAAGGAATTTTTATTTTTGGAAAAGCTATAATACACTAGAGTCAACAACACGTTCTAAAGTAAATATTTCCAGTTATAAAAAGTAAAAATATGAATTAATATTTGATTTAATAAAGTTAAATTAAACAACAGATATTTGAGTTAGTTAAATTTATGGGAGAATGAATTAAAGAAATTAAAAAATTAAGGACTAAATTGTAAAATAATTAGTTAAACACAAAAATTAATGTTATTTTTATTTTTCAGTTATTCAAACTTTAAAAATCCAAAATGGATTAGAATTTAAGATTAGAATTAAAAATTTTAATTAAAATGAATAATTTGAAATTAAAAAAGTACATTCTTCGGTCAACACAAATTTTTTATCCACCTCCATATGTACATGTAGTTGAGGACAAAACATGCATTGACTTGTGTTGATTAGCACGTAATTAACTCGAATCCATATTATAATGAGCCCCCACTTGTTTACTTGTCCTTGCCCTGATGATTAACATGAGCAAAATTAATTACCAAGTTTATGATATCATAAGAATGATGAGTGTAGTGCATGGTAATAGGAATAAAATAACACAACTAGTATGCTCCAGATCTCACTAGAATACGCGTTGTTGACTGCCAACGCCATAAGAACTCAAACCCTCGGAACCATATATATTTCATAAATTTGCAAGTTGTTTTTTTTGTTGTTGTTGCGAATTCAAAGAGAGAAACTCATTGAAAACCCCATGGGAGTTCATTGCGGGAACATGTGCTGCTGAAACAACGAAGCTTCACCCCAAAACCATGTTTACATTTATCAACAGTGTTTCAATTCTTACATTAGGACTTAGGAGAAACATTTATAATTCCCAACATGTGCTTCAAAATTTCAACGCACTAACAGGCTGGCCGTGCTTCGTTTTTCATGGTAGCAGGTTTTGCCACCTTCCAGTTTCAACTACACTTGCAATTCTTTGATTATACAGCAACTACTTTCACTTTCTTTGGAACCTCTGCTTCTAGTCCCTGATCTGTATACTTTCTCGATTTTACGCTGCGACCTTTACGCAATACTAAAAACAAAGAAGAAAACTAGTGGAACTACTTATTTTTTAAATCACGAGGATTAGGAGGAAGATAATTATAGTCAATATCCTTATAAAGCTTTGAAATCCCATTTGTGTTATTATTAATTCATCCACTTGACTCGCATTAAAGTCAACTTAGCATCATTTATATATTTATATATATCACGAGGTTTAGATTTTTGTCCTACAAGGAATATTAAAATCTCTGGCTTTCATGTTTTGTTTTTCCTGGGTAATTATTGGTTAATTTGTTTGAACTGATAACAGCAAATTATATATATACATATATATGCTTTTGCTTTAGTGTGCGGCGGGAAATCCTAAGGTTAATATGTTATGAATTTTAACTTAAAATATTATTATGTCTATTTTACAAGTTATATAATTGATAATAATTTTGATTATAACTAAAATTGTTACATAGAAGAAGGTTTTAACCTAATGTAGTATTCAACCTACTCTAAAATGATAAATAATTGGTAATATTTTAATTATAACGGAGAATGTTATATGAGTTTCTTGACGATAATTTTTTAAGTTACAACCATAATAGTTATACAATTTACATTCTTTGTTATGAAAAATGTAATACCTTCTATTTCGACCTAAAGTGGTAATATCTTGGCTGATAGTCTAGCTAAACAGGGGATTGGCTAATTTTTTTGGGGTTTGCTAGTTCTGTTTTCGATTATGCTTTGGTGTTTTAAGTTTGTCTGTGCTAGTTTTGTTTTTGTATCTAGTGGACCTATTTTTTTTTTATTATTAATAATATGTTTGAGGTGCTCTTTTTCTCCTTAAGTTAGTTATGGATATACTTTTCGGTATGTCGATGGTTACGAAGGGATTTTTTAACGAGATCTCTATTTCTTATCAAAAAAGAAAAAAACTTAAAAAAGTCATGTGTTTGATAATTTCTTCTATTACAATTAATTGCAACATTTTTTTAGTCTTATATTAACCTATTGTATTTTAGACTAGTCATATATAATCACGTGAAATGTTTGACAATTAAGCTTAAAGAATGGATCAATATGAAAAAGAAAAAGAAAATAATATGTTTTAAATTATTCAAGACGACGAGATATTAATATCAATTGATAAAACCAAAATAAAAATAATATAAAATCTAAATTTTAGGATTTACTATATCAAATCATAAAAAACTAAAACTCTAAAAATATATTACGAGTGTAAAGATTAACAACAAATGTCTAAGCTATGTAAGCAAGAACAAAGAAAACAAACGAAAGAAACAATTCTTCTGAAATTCATTATCTTCAAGTGTGTTTCTTTACAAGTCTCAAGAGTGTATTTATAGTTAGTACTATAGCTGTAACTAATGATGTAACTAAACTTCAACAAACTAATTGCTTCAACTGATTAGCAACAGTGAATCAATACTCAGCTGCACGACCATCATGCACAGCAGTTGCACGTGAACTTATATGCCATGCATTTATCTACACTAACATTCTCATTGCAACCTTCAACTTCAAACCTTCTTCAAACTCAAAATGTACAAACATGATCAACACTCCTTCAAACTCAAAATGAAATCAATGTTCATTTATACTATCATTCCCCTTGCAACCTTCAACTTCAGATCTTCTTCAAGACTCAGACTGATATGCTCTTAAGTTGCATCACCAACAACCATTATATGTGTTTGAAAAACAAAGGTGGTGATAAAGGCTTGGTCAGCACATCAGCAACCTGCTCGACTGCAGGAACTTCATGCACTTGTAGCTGTCCCATAGCCATAATTTCTCGAACAAAAAACAGATCTAACTCAACATGTTTAAACTTGGAATGAAGTACAGGATTAGCACATACTGCAACTGCACTTGTATTATCACACCACAACATGGCCTTGCCATGAGTAACTATGTGCAGCTCTCCCAACAGTGATCAAAGCCACACCATTTCAGTAGCTGCACAAGCCACACTTCTGTACTCAACCTTGGCAGTTGAACGTGCAATAGCCTGTTGCTTTTTAGAGATCCACGAGACCAAGTTCCCATAAAAATATATACAGAATCCTGAAGTTGACCGTCTATCATTAACATCTGAACCCCAATTCGTATCTGCAAAGACAGTCAACGCCATTCTCGAGGAGGGTGTAAACCATAGTCCAAAATCAATGGTTCCTTGTAGGTAACAAAGTATTCTCTTGACTGTCTGAAAATGAATATCTAGTGGGGCTTGCATGAATTGACACACTCTATTCACAGCAAACGCAACATCAAGCCGAGTGATTACAATGTACTGCAGAGCACCAACTATGCTTCTATACTGTGCAACATCTTCAAGTGGTTTTCCCTCCTTAGCAGATAGCTTGACATTTGAGACCATGGGAGTGGGAAGACTCTTTACTCCACCAAAACCATGCTTCTGTAGAAGGTCTTGAATATACTTTTGTTGACTCAAAACAACATCACAACCTTCATAACTGACTTCCACTCCTAGGAAAAAACTCAATGGTCCAAGATCCTTCAATGAAAACTAAGCATTCAGTTTGTCTATAACATTTTGAACAACCACCTCTTTATCCCCTGTTAAGATGATATCATCAACGTACACCAGTAAGTACTCCAAGCTATCCGAGGTCTTTCGAACATAAAGAGAGGCATCCGACTTAGCTAGGCAAAAACCTTCAGATTCCAGGTATGCCTTCAGTCGCTCAAACCAGGCCCTCGGTGCTTGTTTCAGTCCATAAATCGCCTTGTGTAACTTGCATACCAGCTCACCATTGCCTTGCTCATACCCTGGTGGTTGAGTCATGTACACCTCTTCAGTGAGAAGCCCATTCAAGAAAGCATTGTTGACATCGATATGTCTTAGCTTCCACCCTCGTGACAACGCCAAGGAAATGATTACCCTGATCGTTGCAGGCTTGACCACCGGACTGAAAACTTCATCAAAGTCAATTCCTGGTTTTTGAAGAAACCCTTACCTTCATATCGAGCCATCAACATTTCTCTTTATTCGAAAAATCCATTTACAGTTTGTTGCCTTCCTATCTCTAGGAAGATGAACTAGAGTCCACATGCCATTCTTTACCAAGGCATCAAACTTAGCTTGTGCAACTTCTTTCCAATGAGCACTAATCAAGGCCTTTGTGATATTTGTTGGTTCTCGATCTGAACTTGCAACGTTATAAACTTTTGGATTCTATATTCCATGCTTACTCCTGATCATAATGGGATATATATTGGAGACTTCTTGTGGTACATCAGTCTCCACACTGGGTTGAACTTCAACACTCATTTCTTGGACCCCATGTGAGCTGTCACCACGATTGCTATTATCAGGATTAATACCATCGTGATTCTCTTCTTGGACCCTATGTGAGCTGCCATTTCCACTACTCCCATTGTTTGAATTTGGCGCAACATCCCATTAGACCCTACGTGAGTTTTCATTTCCACTATTATTTGAAATAACATTACCACTATTATTTGTCGCACCACTATCTCCTTGGAC